CTTTAATTCAAATTGGCGGGTCTCATCATTATTGGTCCGTATGACTGGCTGATTGCCCTTGCCATCCCCCACATCCTGTTGTTCTTCATATTCAGCTGGCTTTTATTTCATCACAAGGAAATGTGACTCATAGGTCAAAAACACCAAAACGTGTTCTGACTTTTTTTTGTGGTGATCTCGACACAAGTTTCTGCACTTCAGTCACGCTCGCTGCTTTTGCTTTTTTGTTTTCCTCCACGCTGAAAACGCGATCCTCGTCAAACAGCTGGTGTTTGAAGCTGAAATTTCACAATGACAGCATAATCTGCCTTCACTTTCACATTGACTGCTCTCAATAATATTGTCTAATTATTACCTGCAGTGATCTCCACTCTTTACTTTATTGCTGAGGAGCAATGTGTGCAAACTGATTTGGGTAGATCATTACCTTATGTGTGTGTTACAGAAATATTGCTCTCCTATGTCTATTTTGATGACAAGCTCCATAAAAGTAGGCTGAAAATTCTCTCCTGGTTTCCGAGCATGAATCAAAACCAAACTTGAATTGAATCCAAAGTAGTCAGTGTTTAAAGCAGCAGAATCGTTTTAGTTCACGGGCCACTTGATCTCAAGTGGGACGCAAAAGTATTGGATCATTTTTCTTTTAGTCTCAAGATTTATGTTGTGGAAACGTTCACATTTGATGAACCACCCAGTCAGAAAAACTGATGACGAAAAGCTAATGAAGTCTTGAGAAAATAAATGCATCTTCAACGCTTTGACTAATTTTTTCCATGTTCAGTCATTTCGCTGTCATCATAGAGAAATGCACCAGCCATGCAGTCGTACAGATTAAGCTCTTTGTTAGGCTTGTTCTTATGTTTGACACACTGGTCTAAAGAATAGTTAGTTATTAAGTTACATTCATTCATTTCTTTTCTGTCTTTTCTGTAAGTGGAACATAATTTCACCTGCACAACATTCATATTTTAACCAGTGATTTGAGAAGTGCTACAACTATCTTTATATTTTGCCATTTTTATGTTTGTTCTTTTAAACGTGGAATTTTTATGCGCATCTTAAAAGTACAGACAGTTGTTTTTGTTTTAATTTATTTAATAGAGTCAAAGAATGTTATTCTCATAAATGTACAGTAATTGTTCCAACACATTTATGCAATGTCATAACTTTGAATTCATCCATTAAAAATACAAAGGAGTTAACACCGGTTTGTGGCAGCTACCATGTTGCTCCACCATCTTGACTACAACGGCCAAGATGGTCATCATGTTCCACCTAATCGCATCTTATGTATGCGTCTGGAGACTTGCAAAAGGCAGCGAAGAAGAGAATCTGGACAGCTCAAGGCTGGCTAGCTTAAAAACAGCTGTTTATAAGCTAACATTGTGCAAGCTAATGGAGTTTCCTAAAAATCACACTTTCCCTCTGATAAACAGTTTGATTACATTCTCACGTCATATGAGTTTATTTGCAAAGTGCCAAAGTCCAATAATGTTATATTAACTTCAAAGTTCCAGTTTTCTCTAACACCAGTTAACAGCGGCTAACTGAGTTTAATGGTGGCTAACAGCTAACAGGATATCTTCAAAAACTGATCACAGTGTCTGTGCCATTGAACAGAAGTGAACATCGCTGACACATCAACTCGTATTCGAGTTTTACAGCCTCCTAAAAGTAAATAGATGTGGACGCCTCTCATCTGCATATCGACAGTTGAGGCAAACAGTGGCCTGCCCAGATAGCAAAAAGACTCCAGGGCAGATTTTGGTCCAGAGTCACTTTAATGCCTGAGTACACTCACTACAGATTAATGGTTTGTCTTCTGGAACAAATGGTAAGCATCCCATGTTTGTTGACTGCAGTCTGCAATCTACAGACATCTAGTAGTAAGATTTTACACACTGTCATTTTAAGCTACAATACAATATTGTATGCTTATATGGAGACATTTCAAACAAAATAAAAGATAGTAATTTTTGTGTGGGGTTACAGAAAAAGATATGATTCACGATAGATAACCTGTCTTTTTACAAATCTTTATTTATATATTTATCATAAGGACTTAGAAACAGTTAGTTGTGCCCTCATCACTTTTTGGTTAGAATACAATAACTCCCTGTATTAGTATCTTTCTCAGTTGTAGTTGGTTTACAACTCTGCTGCTTGACTTCTAACTGCCTGACAACACATCCCTCCTTTTTAGCTCAGTTGCACTGTCTACCTGTGAAACATAGAGCTGTTTTTAAATTTTTATTATTTACTTTAAAAGCCCTCTGAGGATCAGCTCCACAATAGTTCACGGATGTTTTAAGCCCAAATTTTGCCTCCAGGTTCGAGGTCACTGAGGTCATCCTCCAGCAACGTCTCTCAGCGTCCCCTTTTCGCCTAAAGCCTAAAAGCAACCGCATCTTTGTTTTTATAGCCCTCAGGCTGTGGAATAATTTGCCATCCCATATAAAAACCTGTCAAACAGGTGATTGTTTTTAAATCAAATCTGAAGACTGACTTTTATTTGTATTTACTTTGAGTTAAGTTTGAGGGGCCTCGTGGTTTTTGTCATGTCCTTTGTGAATGTTTTATTCCTGCTCATTTATGTCAGCTGCTGTTTGTATTCTTAGATGTTGTTTATATAGTCATTTCTATTTGACTGGTGTTTTTTATGTGAATTATGGTACTTGAGTTTTTGTAGACCTGGAGTACATACATACATCTGCTTTAACTGGATAGAACTCCTGTTGTTTTAAATGTGCAATAGAAACAAAGGTGACATGAGTGTCCTAGCTAAATAATAAAACAAGACAGCTTAATTTCAGGTTAAACCTGACTGAGGTAACTAAACCCAACTGTATATCTAAAAGAAGAGTCAGGGTACCACTGAATTCAGGAAGATGAATCACCAAAATGTGGAACCTATCGAAAGCAGCGAGAAGTCGTTGTATTCAATTCAATTAAGTTTTATTTATGCAACGCCAAATCAGAGCAACAGTCGCTCAAGGCGCTTTATATTGTAAGGTAGACCCTAAAATAATACAACCAACCCCAACAATCGTATGACCCCTATGCGCAAGCACTTTGGCGAAAGTGGGGAGGAGAAACTTCCACAGGAAGAAACCTCCAACAGAACCAGACTCAGGGAGGGGCGGGGCCATCTGCCACAACTGGCTGGAGAGAGGGGAGCAAGACAGGATAGAAGACATGCTGTGGAAGAGAGTCAGAGATGAACAATAACTAATGATTAAATGCAGAGAGGTGTATAAACACACTTTGAGTGGAAAAGCTGACTCAAGAAGAAAGGCTCAATGCATCATGGGAATCCCCCAGCAGTCTACACTTATCGTAGCCTAACTAAGGGAGGATTCAGGGTTATCTGATCCAGCCCAAACTATATGCTTTAGCAAAAAGGAAAGTTTTAAACTTAATCTTAAAAGTAGAGATTGTGTCTGTCTCCCGAATCCAATCGGGAAGCTGTTTCCACAGAACAGGGGCCTGAAAACTGAAGGCTGTCCCTCCCATTCTATTTTTGAAAACTCTAGGAACAACAAGTAAGCCTTCACTCTGAGAGCAGGGTGCTTTATTGGGATAATATGACACCTGTAACATATGACAGGGTCTCATCGTCATGTCAAATTGCATGTGAGAAGAGATTTTTTAAAAGGGTTTTAAAATGACATTCTAGATTTTACCTGGAACCAATGAAGAGAAGCTAATATGGGAGAAATACAGTCCTTCTTTCTTGTCTATGTTACTTGTTTGCTGTGGCGTTTTGGATCCAAATAAGGATTTCCAGGATTTCCTGCCTGATGCTGAGGAGTCTAGTTTAGTCTAGCCTAGAAATCCCTAAAATACCTACTGAGATGTTTCATTCTGGACCAACGTGGTAATCTAACATGAGTCCCTATTACCTAATAATAAAGCCAGACTGCTAACAGCCTCATGATGCTACTCTCTTCCAGCTGTTAGAGTTGTAATAATGACATACGGAGTTCTGAATGTCATAAAATCAGCAGTTCTTTTAGTAAAATAAAATAAAATAAAATCCTATGAAGAGCTAGAACTATCCCCAGGTCTTGTTACACTGTGTTTCAGTTACACCAAGTAAGTTCAGGGCTGAGGGTGAAGAGGTTAACAGGATGGTGGAGTGAATGCTAACAAAGCAGAGTGAATGCTCTCTTTCTTCTTCACACACACACAGACAGATGCATGCACACACAGAGGAGGGCCTCTCAGTGTAAAGAAGCATGACCAGCAGCAGCTGTTGGATAACCAGCTGCCTCTGTTTATCTGCTGAGACCCTGAAACCCTCTGTTCTCACTCAGCCTCTGCAGCCTCTCTTGTCCCTCAGTCCTGAGAGCTGTACTAGGAAGAAAGAGACTATTGAGTTAGTGAGGTATGTTGAGCTGAAAGCAGGAGTTTTTAATTTCACATGTGACCTGTTCAATAGAATGTTACGTTCAGAATTTTGGATTAAAATCTGCAAAGTACCAAATTTCTCCTGACAATATTGTCTATGATCAGTGTACTATAGACTGTCAGCTAAAGCAATGTTATTCTGGCTAAACTATTCTGATTTTACACACAGCCACCACACAGCTCCATGCTGCCGTTTAAAAACAATCATTTGTAAGTGTAAACAAACAAACAAACAAACAAACAAACAAACAAACAAACAAACAAACAAACAAACAAGTCTTCAAAGATACTGTATGCTCTGAATAACACTGCTGGGAGCATAAGTGGGAGTCGCTGACAGCGAGCGACCTCTGGTGGTTATATTTATGAAAAGCAACAGTGCACGAGACTGGTCAGCTGACCAACGCGGAAGTGCTTAAAATCAGCAGTGTAAACAACGATTCAGAAGAAATAAAGTAAAAAGCTCTGTTTGGATAACTTTTTCTCCCCTAGTACGACAGCATGGTTCGGTGTTTCCTCATTCACACCGTGTGCCCGGTGAGTGCTCTGTCTGCCGGGGAGAGCCGTGTTCTTTACTCCCGGGTTTTCGGTCCAGATGACGGAGTCCTGTCCGAGCGGCACCGAGAGCTCAGCCCGGAGGAAAGAAGGCTTCTGCAGAAGGAGATGGTGACCGCAGTAGCCAGGTGGGTGTTTGTGGTTAACAGTTAAAAATAAATCATTATTCGAAGTCATTTTTTTCCTGGACATCCACAGATTGGGACAGAAGTGGACACTTTAATTAAGCCCTTTTTGTGTAATTTTGCCTATAGGAGTGAAGAGATGAGGACAGCAGACAGAATTAAATTCAGTTAATCACCTTTCTGTATTTTTGCATTACAATAACATAATGGAAATGACTTGACAGCCCAAGGCTCTGTCCCATTACTTGAGCTTCATTCATTTTCCACCAGGTAGACAGAGAGAGTGCCCCAGGCCTGCGCAGTGGACCTGTTGTGGTAGTCTTCTGATTCCGCTTTGTGGATGCATCTGATGTAGACTATTCCCTCGTGTTTACAACAGGATTCAGCAGTTCATGCAGAGACTGGGGGAAATGTTTTTTTTCCCCTCCTGAATAAATGTCCCAGTCAGCTCTGATAGCTGATGTGCGTTTTCTTTTCTTGTTTTGGAACTAACACCTGTCCAGATAAAGACATGCAGCCTGTGTATTCTGTTGAGTGGCGTCTGTTCGTGTCCCTGCATTGCCTGTTCATGTTTGTCATATACAGTATTGTTCAAAAGGCTCTTTGCATGCTCTATTCATATCCATCATGCAGTGTCATGAAGATCTATCCAACAGCTATCCAGCGATGAGCACAGGAGCTATATTTAGACTCAAGAACACAGGACTACTTGTTATACAGATGGTCTGGCAGACACCGAGATGGCCTCCGTCTCAATGCTTTAAAAAAACTAAATTTACCTGCCAAGAAAAAAACTGCAGAGAAGAGTACCTAGAGCCATTTTGGCTTTTGAGCATTTTTTTTTTACTGCTATTTGTATGAAGGTTATTTAAAAATTACCACCCTGGCTTTATTTCCAGTGATTAAATCTTTGCACAGCATTGTTTATGTATTTATTTTATTTGATCTTTTGTTTTAGGATTTATTCTTGTTGTTAACTCATAATAGCAGTTCTTTCACCATCAATCATCTCTCTGTTTTCTCATATAAAGCATCCTGCTATTTTGATGGGAACACACAACGTAAAATGCCAGACAATAATATTTTTTTTCAGTGACTCATGAATCATTGTGTGTGTGTGTGTTTTGTTTTTCTCCTGTTCCAGCCTGTAACTAGTGATTACTACTGTCAAAGACAATGGTTGTTCTAATGTTATCAGTAAAACTGGTTAAATAGCTCAAAATAAAATGAGCCCCACAGTTATTGTGACTATGAAAGCATCCTATTAATGGCAAAACACTTTTTGTGTTTCAGACAAGTCCGGAGTGCTGTCTCTCTGTCCCGGGAAGCCTCGGGTCGGCTGATAGTGGAGACTATGCCGGGCGAAGAGAATCTGGCTCTGCAGGACGCCGACTGCGGCGTGGTGCGGCTCAGAGCCGGAGACCCCTTCTCCGAGGAGACGAGCGCTCTGTGGCTGGGGGTTCAGAGTCTGGGCTTCACGCTTGTCTGTGAGCCTCACGAGAACCTGCTGCTGGCTGAGGGAACACTGCGCAACATGACCCGCCACTGCCTGGAGCACCTGCACATGCTGGGGCAAGGGAGTGAGGTGAGCCGTGGACACACATTCTACTGCTCAAAAAAATGAAAGGAACACTTTTTAATCAGCGTACAACATCAAGTCAGTTAAGCTTCTGGGATACTGAGCTGGTCAGCTAAGTAGCAGTAGGTTGTAAATAAGTTTCAGTTGCTTTGAAATTAAGAGTAGGTGCACTAGAGTGGCAACAATGAGACAACCCCCAAAACAGGCTTTACAGGTCGAGGCCCCTGACATTTTTTTCCTTCCTCATCTTTTCTGATTGTTTTCTGGTACCAGGACCCTACAGAGGTTGCACAGGTACTCCAACTCCTTCAGGATGACACATCAATATGTGCCATTGCCAGAAGGTTTGCTGTGTCTCCCAGCACAGTCTCAAGACCACACAGGAGATTCCAGCAGGCAGGTAGCTACTCTAGGAGAGCTGGACTTCTTCTAGAGTGAGCATACTCACTCTGTTGCACTAGATGTGTGTTTAATTTGGACCTGGTCTGGAGTATTTAGGATCTATTTTCACAAATACAGTTTAGATTTCATAAATATGACAGAGTTATAACAAGTGCCCTTATTACTATAGTTCAAACTTGCCAATTCCAGTTACCGTAATTTATAAATGGCTATGGTCTGGTGCGGTATGAATTGTAAAACCCATTTAAATTGCATTAGGCTTTAAACTTTGTATTATCAGGAGTATTGTCCCTTTGATTGAGAAGTGGATGCCTGCCTGCGGGGTTGTAGCCAGCAGCAGTTTAATGAGCTTCATCTCAGTTAATTCACGTCACTGAACGAGAACTCTGGTATTGATGCCTTTTTGAGTGTCATCAGTTCAATTATCTGACAAGTAATATGGGGCCATGTGTCACTGATTGTGCTGACAGACCGTGCAAGAAGTCTTTCTCTCAGTTTTGATGAATGAAGTTATGGTGTTTTATGTGTTTATGTGTTTCACAGCACTTACTTTCAGCGTCTGTGCGATAAACCTGCTGATAGCTTAGCGCTATCATCGAAATATAGTTGCTTCTGGCTAATCTTGGTGTCAGCTAAAATGCTAAAAATGGGGATGTCACAAGCTGAAGTGCAACATCACGTTCGTTAATGCCTTCTTTTATATACTGTTTAAGGCTTTCATAGATTAAAGAAGTGTTATCTCTGATGGCTGCTTCAGTGACAAGTGTGTGAAGAACACTGAGACATTTCATTAGCTTTGAAGTTATTCTCAGCAGTGAAACTTCAAAGACCTCTTGAGCCTTTTGACTTGTACAAACCTAGTGAAGCCATGAATCACTGACCAGCTGTTGATAAAATGTATTATTTTATTTAATTTCTCCAATTTTTCTTTTTTTCTGACAGGAATAATTGCATAAACATATTCTCTTTACCACAAACATACAGTAGATCACTGTGACTCATGCACCTTCCGGCTGCTGTAAAGTGCATTTGTATTCAGAAACTGTAGCGAGTGTTTGTGTCTATATGCGTCCTAAGTCATCATCAGACTGCAATCCATTAACTTAAACAGTTTACCTCCCCAAAGAAAGATGATTGTCGAACACTGGTATCGCAAGAGCAGCCTCTCATTACGTGCTATGAAAAATATCAATGAAGCAAAATTCAGCAGTAATGAAACTAGATTGCAGCAGCGCGCATTCTTATTACCAGCTTTTAAGCATCTCTCGATTAATTGAGAAGCCTGCTCGATCACTTGTGGCATTTTTCTCTCCAGGTCCTGCTGAAGAGCAACCGGATCGACGTCCTGCTCAGTCGCCTGCTTCCTCACGGGCAGCTGCTCTTCCTCAACCACCGCTTTGCCCAGAGTTTGGAAAAGGAAGTAGCGGCTTATATGGCCAAATAAAGCCGAGCAGCCACGGTTGCCATTTTCAGGGAGGGCGGGCTATCATTTACAGCTACTTCTAGCTATATCTGCTGGCTTCCAAGCAAACAAGCCCTCTGTCATTCACCTCCGGTGACATTTCCATGCTGGAAGACGAAGAGCGGACTACCAGCTGCTGCTGGTGCTGCTGCTGTTGTTAGAGATTGCATGATGTGTAAACACACAGAGTGGTAAATACCTGCCTCATCCACTTGCAGCTCACTCTTGGCTGTTTACTGTGTGGGTGGCTTCACTTCAAATCCTGTTTGTCAAATTGAAGAGTGGAAAGAAAAATGTGGCAGATTAAAGAGTGCAGTCGCAGAGGCCATTTAAGACGTACTTGTCAGCATTAAAGCCTGCTGTTTATCTGATTCACCATACTTGAAATGTCACAGTGTGACCTTGAGGAGCCAGACTTGACCTTTTTTTGTGCTTTTTCAGTGAGTATAAATGAAATCTCGGAGTGTTATTGCCTTATAGTAACTCCTCATAAGACCTTACATTACCTACTACTCATCAGGTTAGCGAATGGGTGTTAAAATAATGTTTTGGGAGAACAAGAACACACTATGAATCATCTTAAAGAAATGCACAATAGAAAGGCAAGAACAAAAGATCTAGATCTGAGTTGTTTTATGACAATTTGTAGCAGAAATGCCGCAATGCCAGTGATGCTAAGGACGACGGACGGGGCAGGAAGTGAGGAGACGTTTGGATAAACTATTATGAATGAAAGCAGAAATGTTGGCATGCAGAACATGGAACAAAACATGAGGAAATGATGACAAGACCTACAAACATCCTGACTCAACAAATAAAAAATGTATACCTGTGTCTTGTGAACATCTGTTGTTCCCCCCCGACTGCCTCTCCTCACATCGAGCCAGACTCTCCTGCTCCTCCTTCTGGCCTCTTAAGAGCTTCTTAAGCCCCACTTTTTGTGCTGGCAACCAAAACCAGAGCTGTGTTTTTAGGTGTGTGTGTGTGTCTCTGTGTGTGGAGGGGAGATTGTGTGGATGCCAGCATTGATTGCTTTGATCTTCTTCTTTTTTCCCCCCCTGTATTAAAAATAAAACTAATTTCTTGTATTACCCAAGGCGTATGCTTTGAAACTTGTGTAGTCTGCAATCAAGGATGTGGCACATCTCCCCCACCCAAAAAAAGAAGATATCAGCGAGGAGCTGGGGATTGCACCTTAAATGACATGTAGCACACAAGAGGAGAATTTGATATGCTGAGCAAAAATTACTGAAAAAAACCTAGAACCACCATAAACACCTTTACACTGATCGTGGTAGTTATCCACGTGACAAGTAATTTCATGGTATGACCAGGAGAGGGAGCTGTTACTGTGACTTTCAGTGTGCCATGAAGGACGTTGGAGGGGAAATCTTACTTGGAGCTCTCTTTGTGGTGAAACTTGTTAAAAGATGGATGCTGGACTGATGGAGACTTCCACATAATTGCAAAATAAAAAGGACAAGTACAAGAGCAGAAGAAGTATTACTGAAGAGTCTTTACGGAGATGACAAGAAAGCTTCCAGCTTGTACAAATAGTTTTTGCCTTATATATGTATATATATATACATACACATATATATATAGCAAAATATAAAGAAATGAGGGGCGGTACTGTATTTTATCTGTTTTGAGAATGTTCATCTTTCCATCCTGTAGCTATTATAAATAATGCCAGTGGAGACATCAGCTAAGTAAGTGTTGGTCCATCGACTTTCCAATAACAGCGTTTCTACTAATAGCGTGTAAAACACAGAAAAAGTATCTGACTCCAGGGGAACACTTTCTAAGGACAGATCCACTAAATAGAAGATGTCAAACGGAACTCAAGAGTTCTTTCAGTCAAGAAATTGTTACATTTCCCTTTTTTCCAACCAACAAAAACAGCCATATAAAGAAATACTTGAGTTGTGTAGAACTGGCCCGCACAGAGACCTGACTTCAACCCCATCCAAAACCTTTGAGATGAGCTAGAACATTGACTGCGAGCCAGAACTCATCAACCAACATCAGTGAGCGACCTTATGAATAACTCAGAGCTGGTTCAGACAGGCAGCGTAGGTCCTCTGCTGCACTCGCATGGCCTGCTTTTCTCTCTGCGTGCAGTGCCGTGCAGACGTTCTGAATGGCCAATAAAGATGTCCTGATTTCTAAAAGGCACTGAGTTAAAGAGGATACATTTGATTTAATATTTCACGCAAATTGCTTTTCTTTAATTTTCATATTCCACAATTTCAACATAAAAAAGGAAAAATGGCCCACAGCAAAGATAGGTCAGCGCTTAGCAGCGTGCCCTTTGGCAAGGATCACAGCATGAAGGTGCTTTCTGTAGTGCTATGAGTCTTTCAGTTCTTGTTTGGGTGGATTTACAGTTGTTGTTTGAACACAGCAGAATGCAGTGGCACCACTCTAAATCTTCATGAAGGTCTTTTGCACTCAGACTGCGCTTTTGATTTGCCTCTCTAGCGATTCTATCAGCAATTTTCTCAAAGTTTCCCAGGTCTTCCTGACTGCAGCCTGGCCTCCACCGTTCCTGTTAACTAACACTTCTTAATTACACTTCTAACTGAGGAAACATCCATCTTCCTACTGTCTTCTTGCAGCCTTCTCCTGCTTTGGAGGCATCAATTACTCTAATTTTCCAAGTGCAGTGCAGCTGTGTTCTCTGCTGATTACTTGAGCAAGGTTTAAGGAGTGTTTATAAAGCTTTAAAATGTGCGTTATCTGACCTTTATTATGAATGAATGTGAACAAGCCACAACCTCTTAAAAGTTCATTAAGCTCAGAACTATAGGGGTGCCCAAACCTTTCTATGGGTGCTCTTGTCTCACTCCCCCCCCCAAAAAAAAAAGAAAACAAAACTCCAGTCATACTTAGAGTGTTATCTGCATGTGAATAATATTGAATCTTTAACTTCTATGCCTTTTGTAGATCTAATCTAATGAGAGCAACACTTTTTCTTTGGAGCAATTAGCTTTAAAAGACTGGAAGTCTTGTTATTGTTCAATAACATTATTTATACAAATCCGAAGCAGGAGATTTTAAGTAGGAGACATCTTTTGACATGCACACTGTAAGAAAGAAAAAGCCCATTAAACTTAAAATATCAACTGATTTCAATTCAATACATTTTTTGATTTTTTTTTCTCTACTTTTGAGCGTTTTTATTGACTTTACTAATATTAACGGGCTGAGCACTAAGTTCTGGCATCTTCTTGTTCGACTAATTACAGTAATTCTAGCTTTAATTTCATGCATTTCTACCTTTAAAAACAGAAATTCTTCTTGTTAGTCTGGTGAAAATTGTAATTTCTGCTGATTGTTCACAAGTCAACAACAACAGGAAATGCATCAGAATAATAAAGTTTATTTTTGTTTTTGTTGCGTTCAAAATGATTGTTTCAGGAATATTGCAGTATCAACAAAAACTATGGCCCAAAATTTGAGTTTGAGTGAAATTGTATGATCTCCTTGATTTTTTTTTTTTTTTTTTTAACACTTATCACACTAACATATTCAGATAATTTAAAAAACATATTAGGAAAGATATTTCCTAATACCAGAATACTTTCCAAACCAGAATTTTTTGGAAAGCTCAGTTCAGTTTCACTAGTCACACCCAGGCCTGATCACTGTCAGACCTGCTGAATCAAGAAATGACTTTAATAGAACCTTGTCACAAAGTGAAGCAGGCTCATAAAGCAACACACCATGCCATGATCTAAAGAAACAACTGACAAAACAAAGTCATTGACATTTTACAGACTGGAAAGGATTCTAAAACCATTTCTAAGGCTTTGGGACTCCAGTGAAGCCCAATTGAGAACCTTTGAAAGGAGTGGCCATCTTACTGAAATTACTCTAAGAGTGATGAGTGACTCATCCAGAAGGAAGAACTTAGAACAACATCTAAAGACCTCCACTTGCCAGAGTTAAGGTCAGAGCTCATGATTCAACAATAAGAAATTGTGTCCATGGGAAGAGTTCCAAGCCCAAATCCACTACTGGCCCCACAAAAAGAAAAGAAAAACATCTTGATGATCACTGAAATCTTTGGGAAAATATTCTGTGGACTGATGAAAGTCAGTTGAACTTCATACCACCAGTCAAGCATGGTGGTCTCGGTCTGCTTTGCTGCTTCAGGCCCTGGACGAGTTGCTGTAATTGATGAAACCATGAATTGTGCTCGCTACTAGAAAATCATGAAAAAGAATATCTGGATATCAGCTCATGCCCTGAAGCTTAAGGGCACTTGGGTTATGCAGTAGGATAATGATCCAAAACACAACAGCAAGTCCTCCTCTGAAAGTCTCAAAAAGTCAAACTTGACGTCTTTGAGTGACCGAGTCAAAGTCTGGACTTAATTCCGATTGAGATGCTCCAGCATGACCTTAAACAGGCTGTTCATGCTTGAAACATTTTAGCGTGACTGAATTAAAACAATTCTGCAGAGAAGAGTGGGCCACCATTTCTCCACAGTGATGTAAAAGGCTCATTAGCAGTTATCACAAATCCTTGAATGCAGCTCTTGCATGGGTGGCACAACTGAACGTCAGTGTTGTGCAAATTAATATTGCTACAAATGTGTTTTTCAGGGCATGCATACTAAAAGCAAAACTTGTACATTCACTCATGTTTTATTAACAATCAGTATGATTGGGCGCTACTGCCATGCCATGCACTCACAAGGAGGCGCAGATGCATGACGCATTTGTCAGTAGGGTTTTATCTGTGGAGCAGCTAGTGGGTTTCCAGTGGCATATTTTTATTTTTGAAATGGAAAACTTTACTGACATCAACAGTTGTTATTTTTTTTTATATAGCATTAACATCTTAAATGAAAAACATTAGCATGTTTGTTGAGTCTGGTTCTTTTGAGGAAGAAGAATCATTAAAATCATAAAACTCATTCAAAGTGTTCTTAACTGTCTCTAATTGTATTCAAACTTAACTTCAGGTAGTTTTTGAGTTCTTTAAATTGTTTAGCAAATTTAGTTTACTTCATTTTATAATCCCCCAACAAAACATTTAGTTGATTCAAATGTGGAAGCTGGCCTCCATCCAGTTACTTGGCATCTTTAAAAAGTTGTGTTAAACAACCAGGTGCAGCTTAATGACAATGCAGCGCCTCACCACTAGGGGGCAGTATGTAGCCAAAGACGATCCAAGCAGCAGCTCCCTGTGTTTCTTCTAATGGAAGACAAACAGCAGAACCGGCCATAAAATCACAAATGCTACTTATTTGAAACCATTTAAAACAATATGATAGACATCAAAACAAGCAGGCGCTCAAATTGTTTTCATGTGTGTGGATCCTGTTT